GGATGGTTGGGCAGTTATTGTTGTTTCCACACACAAAATAAGAAATGCAACCTGATTAATCATGAAACAACAGCCGAACTCTCTTTGCAGAGTTGTTACGTCATCTGAAGGGACGCAGAAGTTTAACGTCATATGGCAGAAACACTGAGCCAGTTGTTTTTATTTATTTCTTCTGCTGGCGTAGTGTGGACAAAGGCCTTTGGACCTGGTGTCACTGAGCCTTTGGGAAATCATTATTGTTCCAGGTAACACGGAGTGAAGCAGGAAGACCGGAACACAGCAGATGTGGGAACTTGTTAGGAACTATATATGCCATTGTACCCTTCAAGAGACATCTCTCCTAATTAGGTCTCCGTGGATAACTACGGGCATCAGGACTCCTTCCAATGAACGGATTGAATGATGTCTCTCTCCCTCACACACACACACACACACACACACACACACACACACACACACACACACACACACACACACACACACACGCACACACAGTCCACTTGTTTAAATCACAGTTTTGTCATCCATCTCTCTGGGAATCAGTTGGAGCGTTCACTCCATCTAGTGGTTGCTTTGACATACACAAGAGAAACATTCTGCAGTGCATGCACACACACACACACACACACACACATGCAAGTGCATCCACACATGCATGCAAACACGTACACACACAGATCGAACATTGCCTGAGCTGCTCCATCTCATTTCATCCACAGTGATCCATTAGTCACCTCTCTCGGGGTCACTCATCTAAATGTTCATTCATTCATTCATTCATTCATTCATTCATTCATTCATTCATTCATTCATTCATTCATTCATTCATTCATTCATTCATTCCTGCATTGATTCACATCTGTAACTGATTCCTTTGTGCATCGTTTATGTGTTTCCCTCTAATTATTAAGTAGAAATCCACGTTGAACTGAAGTAACCTCCGTTCTGAGGTCAAATTAGAATCATCCACAGATAAGCTGTTTTCTATCGTTTATCGGGAGTTTTTGAGTCACTGCTTGGGTTTGTTCATTTTTTCCTACCAAAACCAAACAACAGAATAAAAAAGTTAGAAACTTTGTAGTTTTGGAGCTTTAAAAACAATCTATTTGTCACAGGAAGGAGCAGAGATTTAAGCTTCCACTGTTTCAAACCCAAATATGTCTATTATTTAAAATTATGCTGGAGGGACTGATCTGATATGACTGCTGCTCCGGTATCTAAATGTTACACATGATGCAGTTTAATTATTTATTCACCGTAATATAAACAGACGAAACAAACCACAGAACTTGTTTGTTTCTTGTTTTGATTTATTTACAATTTAAAGTGTGATCGACTCAAATCAGACAGTTCTGGTACCATGAGAGGATTCAGACAAATGTGGAATGTATTAAGATGAATTAAGTCTGAAATTGCAGTTAAATAACACAATTTATCACATAAAATTCATTGTTTTAAAACCTAACTAGAAAAATTTGCATTTATTGCACAAATGCTGTTTGAATGCTGAACAGCTGAACTGAAGCTGAAACTAAGCAAAACTGTCAAAATGAGCTGAATATCTTGAAAGATGTAGAAGCAAAAAGCACCAACAAGCAAATTAAGCACAAAAAGTAAGTGAAGAATAGAGAAAATAATGCTAAATAGCAAAAAACTGAAATCTGTGAACATTGTATAAAAATCTGAACAGCTAAAATGTCTAAACACCTGTTATTGCAGTTGGACAAGTTTAACAGTTTAATCTTTACATTTAGCTGAATTGTGAAATTAGCATTGCATGCTGAATTCAGACACTAATTTTTGTAGCTGCTGAATAGCTGAAGTGAAGCTGAAACTAAGCTAAACTGTCAAAATGAGCTGAATGTATTTAAAGATTTAGAAGCAAAAATCACCAACAAGTGTAATAAAGCTCAGAATATAGGTGAAGAATGGATAAAAATGCTAAACAGCAGAAAACTTTAATCTTTGAACATTGATTAAAAACTCGAAATGTGAAATGTTAAACAGCTGGCATTTGAATGAGAATAGTTTAACGGGTACATTTTTACAATTGGCTGAACTGTGAATTTAGAAATATTTGCTGATATCTGAAACTGATAGATTAACATATGTTCAGACTTGATATGGGATGGATGAATAGTTGGATGAATGAAATTCTGGATGGATTGTCGGATGGATGTTAGATGGTTTATTGGATGGATGGATGGACAGAAGCATTTATGGAGTTGTATATGTGGATGGATGGATTCCTTAGGCCAAGCCGATCAATTTGATCTCTCACTTGTGTGGGTGTGTAATTCCATGAAGCCAGAAGATGATTGACCTCTCTCAACCAATCAGGGAGCTGGGAGGGAGCGGGGCACTTTCCCACCTTCTGACGGTCAATCAAATTTAACTTGTTTCTAGTTTTAAGTACAAACAGTTCAAAAAGATCAAAAACAGGAGTCTGTTATTGGCTCAATATTCAGCTTTTTATATTAATTCCTATGAGACTTGTTTGTAGTTCCTTGTGTTGCCATGGTAACAGATGACAGGAGTCTGCATTGAAAAAGCAATGTACAATGTCACATGACTCTTTTAAACTTTGAATAACATTTCTATATTAAAGTATGTTGATACAGTTGTGTCTAAAATGTTGTTAAATGTTGTTGCTAAGCACGTTGCCATGGTAACACAGAACACAATATCAAGTTAATACAAGACTCCTGGGACCAAGCAGGTTGAATTGATGTATCATATGTGTGGGTGCATATTTCCCTTTAGGCAGATGATTGAAAACTCTCAGCCAATGAGAGAGCGGCGAAGGAGGAGGAGGCGGTACCTGCCTTCTGACTAGTGTTAAAATGTCAGCTATGCTGCTAGTTTTAAGTGTATAGAAATCAGAAAGATAAGAAACAGCAGTATGTTAAAGGCTCAATATTAGGCTTTTCACATTCATTTCAATAAGACTTGTTTGGGGATATACTTATGCACTTGTGTTACCATGGTAACATATAACGCATTTAAAATTGAATACAAGATTCCTGAGACCAAGCTGGTCGATTTGATTATCATACGTGTGGGTGCTGGATCCCGATTGGACAGAAAATGGTTGAACACTCTCAACCAATCAGAGAGCAGCACTGTTTTCCCGCCTTTGCCCCCGGCTGTTGGAGGCCTGCAGCTGTACTCCTGTTAATGAGAGAAGCCTTTAAATCTGTCCTTCAGAAGTGAAATTGGACCTGTTAAACTTCTCATCACCATTCGAAATGTACTGCGCCGATTTGAAAAATTCAAAAAGCGTGAGCGGCAGAAGGCTTTGGTGGTCATCTGTGTCAATTTTTGTGTGTCTACCATGACTTGTCTAGAAGCTATGACGAGAATATTTTAGCTGTCAGAAGCCGATGGGAGGAGAAAATCTCTGATCCTTTAACATGGGTTTCAATGAGACAGAATCTGGGTCTTTCCTCTTTCTGAGGCTTGTAGCGAAAGAACGGTAACACTTACAGAGAAAATGAAACCCATTCTGAAAAGCTGACAACAATTCCTACTTTTTGAGTTATAATTTGTTTTGGTAGTCCAAACGGTCTGGGGGTAGTAAAGAGCTGTTAACAGCATTCTAACAATAAATACAATCGAAGAGTAAAAGTCAGAATGTAGTTGTACCACCAAGGTAAAGGTTGCATTTACAATCACCATTTCTACGCCTTATGGGCTCGACACACGGGAGGCGACAAACGACCGCGATCAGCGAAATTTGTCGCTGTCGCTTTTATGACCTGTCACACGGGAGGCGATCTGTGGCAGCGGCCAGCGGCAAAGCCGTCTACGCGTTCTGTTCCATGGCGAAATCGAAACTTCCGTTGTTCTGTTTGGCTGTGTCAGGTTGGAGGGAATTGAGGTTATTTAAGCGGTTCAGAGTTAATAAAGCGGTAGATATGATGTTTCACAAGGTGCTGCTAGAGTTATGTGAAATCTTACTTCTGATTTTACTATAAAACATAATAATAATCAACTTCTCCTCCATGTTTGCTCGGAGATGTGCGGAGCATCCTGTCCGCTCATTGGTCAGTGAATGAAACCTCCGTTGATTGGTCCTCGTCCAAGCGACAGCGATGAAAAGTTGAAAATGTTTCAACTTTCTGGGATCGCGTCGCTGGGTCGCCTGTGCACGACATGTGCACGAGCGCAAAATTTCACACGCACGTTTTTCGCGTTTCGCTTAGTAGGAGGGAGACCCGCGATTATCGCTTTGTCGCGCATGTCTCATTGAAAATGAATGGAGGAGAGGCGATGTTGCCTCCCGTGTGTCGAGCCCATTAGTGCTGCTTCATGGAGTTGCTTTTACTCATCCAGACACAATGACAGCATTAAAAGCTAAAAGCACGCAGACAAGAGTAAAAACACATTATTATTATTATTATGATTATTATTATTATTATTATTATTATTATTATTATTATTATTATTAAGGCACCAGAAGAACAAAGTTTGAAGCTTGATTTTTAAGTTTTATATAAATGAGATTTGTGTGGCAGTGATTTTAATAAAGTGCTCAGTTGGAGGTGGGGTTTCTGATATTAAATTAGGAAGGATTAGAACATGTTGATCTGCTAAACCTGGAATTAATTCAAATCTGTCCCAAAAAAAAAGTGGTTTAGCATAAATGTTTATATTTAAAATGTGAATATTTGGATTTATTTGTCCAGCAAGAGTAAAAAATGCTAAAAATCTACGTGAGAATTTGCTATGTATTTTTTTTTTGCAAAAAATGTTGATCTTTGTGGCAAATAACGTTGCATTAAACATCCTTCTTAGTGGCTAAAGGTGAATTTTTAAATACTGTGATTTTCACTTGAGCCCGTATCGCTCGGCTCTTTGCTAAATCCTAAACAATGATGAAAAATACCTCGACTTAAATCCATCTTTCATGTCAAACATTATGAAAAAGTACCTTTTTCCTCAAAAATATTCAGCAAAATAAGACACTTGAAGAAATGAAAACAGAGCTGCATCACAGACTCATTCAAATAGACTCGGTCTGTTTTATACATTCATTAATTGTTAGTAAAACAGCAAACAGAATCGACTCAAAAATGTCCTTTTTGCTCTAATTTCCTGCTAGAACCCAGTGTAGGAAGACGGCCCTGACAATATGTCATACATGCGGTAGAAGAGTAAGTCACAGACTTATTTCAGTACAAGTTTTCTTCAGCAAGTTCGTCTGAAAAGAGAAATAAAGAAAAGAATAAATCCACAATGAAGCATAAATGAAATCTGAAAAGCAGAATTAGTTGAGGTTGCTCACCCTGCTGCAGGCGACACTGGAAGTAGTGGTTGAGTTGATGCAACCCAGTATTCTGGTTCTGGAGCCCCAGCTGTAAACCGAAGGGATCTGGAGCGGTACAGCCCATGTGGAGCTGCTCCCCTGGCAGAGAATCGTCTGTGATCGGGTCCACATGGTGGGATCCGCTCACCAAGCCCGGCTGATAGCTGTACGAAATACTGTCAGGGCAGGAAGCGGCACTCTTTCTTGTGACCAGGTCTTTGAGGATGCTCTGAAACATGAAGTCATCGCTAACCAGTTGTTTCTTAGGAAGTGGGGCTGAGAAGAGAGGAGGATGTTGCTGACAGGTGCAGGCTGAGTGTGGAGCGATGACGGCGGTTTGGGCCATGTTTTGGAGCAGGTTCAGGGTGTGGTTCATGTCGAAGCTGCTGGCTAGGGAGGAGATCTGCTGCGCCAGGATGCTGATCTCCTCCTGCTCCCTCTCGTTGTACTGGCTAGGCTCTGTTGACATGGGAGACTGGTGAGGTGTAAGAAAACTGGAATGCATGGGAAGCTCTTGGTGGTGCATTTGACCAAGACTGCCCCCTTGTGGAGGCTCAAGAAGGTCAAAATCATCAGGATGCAGAGACAAACTTTCTGATGGGCTCTCACACATGTCTGACATGGAGAGGCAGTCCGGAACTAATCGAGCATCTGATGGACAAGCTTGGAAATCATTGTAGACCGGAGATAGGGAGGAAAGAGAAGAGCGTGTTGTGAATGAGTCAAAGTCTCTCTGGTGAAACATTTGTTCTGCTGTGGCGGGGAGGGAGTCGGTAGGTGATGGGAGACAGGTGAGCCCTCCTGGGTAGGGGTAATGAGAAGGAGAGGGCTCTGGAGAGGACAGCAGCTGATGTGTGCATTCATGCACATCCACCAGGAGGTCATGGCTGAGCTCCTCCTGCTGCAGAGGGGAGCTGGAGGAGGTGGGGCTGCAGGGAGGGGTGAAGAGAGCGAGGCTTTCGCCCGAGGGAACTGGAGAGGGATCGGCTTGGTAGGAGGTGCGAAACACAAAATGAATCTCTTTCTCGGACTCGATTTGCGTTCCAGCTCCCATTCCTTCACTTTGGCTGTTGGTCGTCCGCTGCCTTTTGTAACATTTAGAGCTGTAGCTCTGATTCTCAGACGCCTGTTGAGCTGAATGTGGGTGATTTGGAGCGGCTGATGGCCTGAAAGCATCGCTGCTCGTACTCGTCTGCAGAAATTTGGCTTCCGTTCCACTGCAAGATCATAAAAATGAGTTGAGAGTGTTTTTGAGTGAAAAAGCTGTCGGAGCAGGTTTGACAGAAACGTTCGTCCTACCTGATGATGCAGTTAGTGCAGCTGATGTTGTAGCATTCCAAGTTCTTGTTAGCACGAATATAGATCCAGCTCCATGACAGATCCGAGTGCTGGAGCCTCAGTACCATCTCCACCTGGAAGCCCTCGTCTGCCTGAACTACAACGATACATAAAATCCAGATTTAACTCCAAACTTCATAGTTTGACTTTAGCTCCAGTTGTGTTGATGACATGTTTTCTCTGCAGGTATCAATGAGTCGACATTTGAAAGTTTAAGCTCCCCTTCAGCATTTAAAAATATCCCTTTTAAAAAGTTTGAAGTCACTTACTTAAACTTCTATGGGAATTTGCAGCCAGCGCCAGATCTTCAGGATGCACCAGACTGTACCACGAGTGTCCCGTCAGCTCCTCCACGGAAAACCCCAGAAGGAATGAAACACTGGGACAGAAAAGGCACCGGATTGTCAGAAATTAGAGCGAGATCGCTCTGAGGCCATCTGTGGAGATCGGGATGTGTGAATATACCTGTCTGAGACCTGAATGAAGCTCATGTCCGGTCTGTGTCTGCTGCTGAAGACGTGACACATGTGAGAACTGGCCCTGGTCAGGCGATTCACCGTGGGCGTGCAGAGGGCCACAAACAGGGGCTCGCTGGAGTGAGGGAGGAGCTGGAAGCTGCCTCTGACCAGCATGGAGCAGCAGCTGCCGTACTGTAGCTTAAAGGACTTGGAGGTCTGCATGGAGCACACGAAGCTCCTCTCTGAAAGAAGAAAAATTATTTTCTTACTGCAGTTCATGTATCCAAACAGAGGAGTTTGCTCTGAGGTACTGCTGCCAGATCAGCGCCAGAAGGCGTGTCCAGTTGTTGGAGAAAAGGTAGCTTGGGATTTTTTAAGAGCCGACTGTGTGTTTCTCACCCCTCCTTTCCACCGGAACCGTCACGGAGCCGTCAGCAGCACGTTACTGCAGCAGCACGTCACAGCTGCTGATAGGAACCGTTGTGGTCAACAGAACCTTTTCCACCGGAGCCGTCAGCAGCGCGAGTCGGCCGCGTCTCAGGAGCAGCATGTCGCGGCCCTTACACGCCGGTTCTATTTTCTACGCGCTACGCCTCTGAAACGGGTCAAGTTCGACATTTTTGGGGAAGGAAAGACAGGAAATCGGACGCGGAAACGGAGAGAAGCTCCCGAGATTTTCAGAATAAAGAAACGTACTGCTGACGGCTCCGGTAGAAAAGAGGGGTGATTCACCGTTAGCATTGTTAGCTCAACGTTAGCACCTTCTTTACACCAAGTAAACAAAAAGATGCTGTGGCTATTTAGGGGCACAAGAAATAACTTCTGGGTCGCTCCTGTTACTGGCTTCCATTCTGTCCACAAATCTGCTGCTCCTTTCCGTCCGGTGTCAGATTACAAATGCCAGTGCAGACTTTGCAACCCCCACCCCCTTCCATTAAATATGATTGGCTCTGGAACCAGGAGGCATGGAAACGGAATAGATTGCAAACAAAGACTACGTCCCTCTCTGGCTTTAAAATAACAATAATGAAAAATCTGTTTCAATGTAACCTTCCTTCTAGCATGACTCAGGCAGTTTTATGATCATTTCAAAGTAAAATTCTGACTTAAGCCTGTTTCACACCGAGTGCAGAACGTTGGCGGTCCAGTTTCGTTACGGATTTGGGGCAGACACTGACTACGACATCTCCAGATATCTGCTCCCACAAGAGCACCAAAGGATTAGAAATTTTACAATACAATTATAAATATACCTTTAAAAATAATGTGAACTATCATACACTGAACTAATAGCCCTGTCGTTACCTTCTCAGTGGCCTAGTTGGAGAGTGTCCGCCCTGGGAGATCAGGGTTAAAATCCCAGTCGGGTCACACCAAAGACTTTAAAAATGGGACCTAAAGCCTCCCTGCTTGGCGTTCAGCTGTGAGGGGTTGGATTGGGGGGTTAAACCACCAAATAGTTCCAGAGCGCAGCCACCACTGCAGCTCACTGCTCCCAACGGGGATGGGTCGAATGCAGAGATGAATTTCATCAGTGTGTGATGACGATGGGACTTTAACTTTGTTAATATCAAAACTACAGGCGGCATAAACAATGCGACAGCTTTTATTTTGAAATAAATTAGATGTACCTTGAAATTTCTCAATAATACAAATACAGGCCATTTTTGTCACTTCCTGTCTGACTAACCCCTTCTTTCCACCGGAGCCGTCAGCAGCTCGTCTTGCTCGCGTAAGCTGCTGCTTGGCCCTTCCCACCAGAGACGCGAAGCAGCAGGGGAGCAGCTGTCACCGACAGAGCACAAAGTCACACGAGTGACTTTGTCAGTAAACACAACAACAAGCTGGAGAAAACTACAACATGGCTCCAAAATGTTTGTGTTTTCTGTTCTGCCCGTTTTATAATCACCAATACGGACCTGAAAAACAAAGGAGACCGCTAGCTAGGCGATAACTTCTCACGGGGACGCACAGTTAGTAACCTTTTTTAAAGTAAAGCAACCGGAAGGCAGTACGTTCTTTATTCTGAAAATCTCTGGAGCTTCGCTTCGTTTCCGCGTCCGATTTCCTGTCTTTCCTTCCCCAAAAATGTCGAACTTGACCCGTTTCAGAGGCGTCGCGCGTAGAAAATAGAACCGGCGCGTAAAGGCCGCGACATGCTGCTCCTGAGACGCGGCCGACTCGCACTGCTGACGGCTCCGGTGGAAAAGGTTCTGCTGACCACAACGGTTCCTATCAGCAGCTATGACGCGCTGCTGCAGTAACGTGCTGCTGACGGCTCCGGTGGAAAGAAGGGGTCATGTATTTATTTTCAACTTCATGGTAATCAACACATCACGTCTGGAAAAATTAGGAACCATCTGGATCCACACCGCTGCCGATGTGAATGCTCTGACTGGACTCAAGGATTTTTTTGTGTGTGGAAGTCGTACAGAAACCGGACCGCATCTGTTCCACACTCGGTGTGAAAGAGACCATATTGTACCTTTAATATGGGCTGAAAAATAAAGAAAAGGTTAAAATGTTCAATGTATTAACGTTACCTGTAGAGGAATCCTTCTCAATGCGCAGACTGGACCGGACAACCTCCACATCAGAATGTTCCACCAAGTCATAAATCGTGTCGCCTTGTAGAACGTCGACCTGGGAAGTCGTTGACACAAAACCGAATTAAGCTCCTGCAGCAACACAACACGTCAACGCACCAAATAAACGTCTTACCATGGAAAGACCCAGGAATTCATCCACATTTTCAGACACGTAGACCAGCCTGCCCTGAGCGGTGGTGACGAGGATGAAGCCGGGCAGGGATTCCAGGAAGGCCTCGTAGGGCACAGAGAAGCACGACCCCCGCCCTGCCGGGAGCCCTTCAGCACAAGAGTCACACCGTTTACGTCTCTCGGGTTGTCAAATCTGATACCGATCTTAAACCGACACCTTAGCCGCACAATGTAAAACTAGATCAGATTCTCCAAGAACGAGCAGAAATGAAGCTTGGAAACTCACCATGGAAGAGAACAGACTTCCTGATGTAAGTGCAGATGGCAGCCATGGAGTGAAGGTAGGAGAGGCGCTCCTGGTCCTCCTGGCTGATGGGAAGCAGCGCGCGCAGACTCCTGATCTCGTGATTGATGTGGTCTCTTCGAGCTTTGGAGGCTCCTTTGGTGGCTCTGTGGGAGACCATGGTCAGAGGTCAGAGTTGGGATGAGCGCTGATGACTCTACTGCTACGCTGGCACTTTAAAATCTGGCGACGGCGGCACAGGAGTTAAGAGCTCGACCCGTAATCGGAAGGTTGCAGGTTCGAGCCCCGCTCAGTCTGTCGCTGTCGTTGTGTCCTTGGGCAAGACACTTAACCCACGTTGCCTGCTGGTGGTGGTCGGAGGGACCGGTGGCGCCGGTGCTCGGCAGCCTCGCCTCTGTCAGTGCGCCCCAGGGCAGCTGTGGCTACATCGTAGCTCATCCCCACCAGTGTGTGAATGTGTGTGTGAATGGGTGAATGACTGATAGTGTTGTAAAGCGCCTTGGGGGGTTTCCAGGACTCTAGAAGGCGCTAAATCAAATACAGGCTATTTGCCATTTACGCTGGCACTTTAAAATCTGCTCCGAACTCATTCTCTTTCACTTGTCGAGACTCAGAAGAAAAACGATAAATCAAAAAGTTACACTTGGCTTCAACTGCCCCAGCGTCTCTTCCTCGACTTTGAATATCTAGGGGTTTCCATGGAAACTGCTGATCTGAGGGCTGTTGTGTTTGGAGCAGAGATGAGGGCTCTCGATGCAATTACTCTGCCTGATCAGTGCCTGTCTGGAGCCATCCTGGGGGTTTTATTGCGGCCAAGGCGTGGGGAGGGGAGGCGGGGCTTCAGATGCTCCCATCATTGCCTTATAAAGGGGGTGTCCCTGGAGCGGGGCACCACCCGCCACACAACACCAAAACTGCTGCAAGAGGACAATTACATCATTCCAATGGAGCCCGGGTGGTAAAGCGCAATTAGGTTTCATCACATTTAAAATTAAATCAGAAGATTAAAGATAAAGATCTAGAAAATCACATGAATACAAAGCTAAATCTAGATGTGGTGGTTTTAAAATGCTTAAATATTGGTGTTAAGTAAAGATTTCCTTCCCCTTATGCTTTGATGTCAACATTCCAGAATGAGGAATTAACTTTATTTACTTAGATTTGATTCTAAATATTTAATTTGAACTTTAAACTTTTAGATGTAGCTGTTTAAAATACTTTAGATTTATATTTGATTCTAAGTTTTTGAATAAACTTTATATATTTAATTATCATGATCTGATCACAAATATTTGGGTTGATTTTATTATATGCAGGGCAAAAAAAGTGTAAAATTTCTACAAATTTAAAATTACATTCTTTTGTATTTGACTCCAGATATAAAATTTTTGAAGCAGTTTTAAATTCAATTATTTTAGCAAAGCGCCACAATTAGGGGCCATTTTTAATGCAACGTGGGTTCAAAACCATGTTTACCCTTATTAAATGAAAAATTGATTTAAAAAAGGCATTCTGTATTTTTTTCGTTCTTTTGGTTTTTGACTCAGAGGCATAAACTGATTCTAAATAATTAGTTGTCTTTACATTTTAGAGTAGATTAAATTTAAACGCACCTTCATAAAGTTTTATTTGATGCTGACGTTTTTAGCATGTTTTACGAATACTTAGAAATAATGGTAAAAATGTGGTGAAAAGTTTACATAAAGTTACCTTTTTATTATATTTAAATACCAAATTAAACATTACTTTACTATTGGCGCTCGCGCTCCATCCAATGTGAATCCAAGTTCCCCGTGAGGATCGGCCTCGTTTTGCGGGATTCATTCATTCATTCATTCATTCATTCATGGTAGCATCACCGCTGGGATGCCGCAGCTTTTGTCCTGATGGAGCCACTAGAGGAGGTGGAGCAGACAGGAAGAGGAGAACCACTGACCTGAACCTCCTGCAGACCGCGCGCCGGTGCTCCTCGGGCAGATGGTGAGACGCGCACGGACTGCTGACGTGACATTTGCAGGTGGTGCACCAAAATGTCATTTTAACTCCTTTCGTTTCCTCCTGGAGGTTAAAAATTGCTGATTTTAAACACGCATCAAACCAGAGGAACTTAATTACGCAAACTAGGGCTTTGTTTTCTCGCTGAGCGTGACGCAAACGTCACTGAAACTGACGCATAAATGAAACTACCAACCTGTTCCCCTTACCTCTGCAGCTCCACTCGGGGCGGTTTGGGTGAAGCATCGGTCGCTCCTCCTTTTAAAGGCTCAACCCAACACCTCTGATCCAGGGAGCAGGAGGGGAGAAGAAACCCGCGGGATCACCTCTGATGCGTGACGCATGACTAACAGGTTATATTTAGTTAACTGAGCCCTAAAAATAAACCCCCACTGGAGGAGAGATTCGCTTCTGAATTATGAATCAACAAGAAATCCTCTGGATGGATCTGGATAAGTTAGTTATCTCCTGAATGATTTATGACTTTAATTCCTTCACCATGGAAGAAATGGGAGTCAAGCCTCTTGATTGAGATGATTGAATTCATCTCTGCACCATTATATCACTAATGTTTAATTACAAGTTCATTTCTGCATATATTTCTGTATCTTAATTGTTTCAAACCAGTAAATAAATAAAAAAACAGACTAAATTAAACACAGGAAGTAGTTTTATTCAATATATTTTTATTTAAGAGTAATAACTGATCCAAACCATGTGAAAAAAATGTAAATGACAAATAATAGTGATGATGTCAGCAGCAATAACTCAATCAGATGGAGTCTCACTTTTCTTTACAGCTTGGATTTAGTGGAGGGCATTCCAGCAGGGCCTGTTTAAGGTCAAAGGTCAGAGGATCTCCTTCAGAATGTTCTGCTAGTGAGCAGAATTCATGGATCAGATCAGCCCCAGACCATCACACCACCACCGCCATGTCTCACTGCTGCTGTTAATTTGACTCCAGGGATAGGAATTTTGTGGAATACTTTCCCCAAAGTCTTGAGAATCATCAAAACGTTACTGCAAAACATAAAACAGGCTAGCTAGTCGAAACTAGTCATTTTAAAGGTTTAGAAAGGAGATCTGCATGCTAAAGCAGTCAGAGACGTCACACAACAGGCAAATGCGCTCCACATGCTTACAAAACAAAGCGTGATTGTCCTTGTTGGTTTCAAGTCCTGAAACCTGATTAAACGATGAAAAGTGAACGCACATTTTTGTTTCTTCTCCACACCATCGGTACAAAGTTTAGCACCGCTTCAAAAAACCTCTCCTCCAGGATTTCAAGTGAATCCTTCAGGATTCCTCACCTGCTGTCCATCGAGGCGAAGTATTTGGGTTTTGCGGCTTTTAACAGTTCTGCGTCAATGTCATAAACATTTAACAGAAAAAGCCAAAGTGCTCTAATTTTCACTCATTCTGCTGGAGCCTGTTTTTAATCAGAGGAGACGCGTTGAGGGTTTGGAGCTGCAGTCATGATGAAATGACAAAGCAACGCATCGTTAAACGCATCCTTCAAGCACCCCAACAAAGATAAATACTTCTAATTATCACGAAAAACATAAAAAAACAGGTTTTCTCATCAGTTAAATCTGTTAGAATGAACGGAAATAAAACATTGTGACAGTAAACACATTTTTAACAGGAAGTGGAGTTCTTAAAATGGCGTCTGATGCCATAACCCTGGAGATCCTGTCACTCGGATCCCACTCAGAGAGACTGTCTTCATAAAGCTTCAGCTGCGTGTTTGAGTCACTCAATTAAACCCCTGCTGGGAGAGAATTAAGCAACAGGTCTGTAATCATGACGCACCGGGGCGGAGATTCGAATCAGATCCTTTAGACCATAAATATGGGTATCACATGACTAGGTGCTAAATAGAAATGAAACCGTTTGTGAAAAGCTGCCACTCACCCCCGATCAAATAAAACTGAGATTTCATGATCCGACACTAAAAAGTTCCACCTCCTGACCGCGGTGGGTTTAATGAGCTCCACTAGTGGAGAGCAGGGAACTAGAACTTGAGTGAAGGAACCGGACAGCGATACGGGCGGACAAGACAAAACAAATCACTCAGGACAAATCCTTAGTCTGATTCTCGAGGGCCAGTGGGACCATCGGAGTCCTGAGGGGAAATTAGAGAGTAATTTGCCTGAGTGTCTCCCTGCATTAGCGCCTGCGCTGCTGGTGGAGGCAGGCTCCAGGGCCAGACAGAGGGGACCCGACGCAGCCCTGCTTCCTGTGTGCGGTGGGACCCGGCGGGACAGGGTGTCTCGGCTGCCTCGCTTTGAGCTGACCCTCCGTCTGTGGCTTGCACTTAACGCTGCAGATAACACGGGCTTTATAGCAGGCGGCTGGTGACAGACAGGAACCTACTGGGTTCAGGGTTAGACATTTTGAAATGATCAGACCTCCACAAATCTCACTAGGTAGTCTGAGGACCTGTTGGGGGTGGGGGTGGCACCATGACTACCCAAAGTACCCGCTGAAACAGACGAGGGCCATCAGACGACTGGTGCTGCTGGTTCTCAGCAGGACGCAGGAGCTGGATGAGTGTAGGGGTTTAAAGTCCGGGAGGACAGTTGACGTCTCCCCGTGTGGTCTTAAATGTCATTTAAATACCTGCAGTCATTACAAAGTTATGGCTGCAATCCGGAGTTTTCCCACTTTCAGGAATTATGGGTGGGTGTTGTAGAAATCCGACCCTCTTTGACACAACGTAGACAAGACATCAACATTTTCTTTGCCAAGCCCCCCCCCCCCCCGTCCAGAAGAGCCGGATGCATTTTGAATTGAGCGCTGTTCAGCATTAGCCAAAAGCTAGACATCTGCTTTGGCACAGAAGCCAGAGAGTGTTTGCAGAAGTAGCCAGACTGCTGAAGAGTTAGCGGCATTTCTTACGAACCAGGGTATCCGCGGGTCCTTAAAAAGTCTTAAATTTACTTTTCCAAATTTAAGGCCTTGAAAATCCTTAAAAATGACAAATAATCCTTAAATACAGTTTCCAAAGGTCTTAAATTACCAAAGACCCAATAAACTAGATTATTTTATTTCTATGACATTTTCGTGAATTTCAGCATTTTTTGTGTACGATGTTGGCGTAAGCGGAACCGTACACATTCAGTTGGTTGTGAAAGGGGGCTATTTTTAGATGAGCACGTTAGCTGGTTAAGCTAGTGGGAGCTTGCGCCACGGAGAAGTGCAAGTTTAATGGTAACTGGATGGCTAATCCCACGTTCGCGACGTGGTTAGCACCGGTTCCAGGCAATAGCTGGAAATTATAGCTTAAAATTAATTTAAAAAATAGCTTAAATTTGGATCTGGATCGAAAGGAGTCAGTTGAGGTGGTTTGGGCATCTGGTCAGGATGCCTCCTGGACGCCTCCCTGGGGAGGTGTTTCGGGCATGTCCTGCCAGCAGGAGGCCGCCGGGTCGACCCAGGACACGTTGGAGAGGTTACATCTCCAATCTGGTCCGGGAACGCCTTGGGGTCCTGCCGGAGGAGCTGGTGGAGTTGGCCGGGGAGAGGACGGTCTGGAGCTCCCTAGTTGGGATGCTGCCCCCATGACCCGGACCCGGATAAGCGGAGGAAGACGAAGACAAGCTTAAATTTGGTCAAAGTGGCCTTAAAAAAGGTCTTAAAAAGTCTTACATTTGGCTCCCTTAAACCTGCAGATACCCTGACGAACAAGTGAGCCTATAAATAAACATCGTTTCAGGATCAATGATTGTTAAACGAAACATTTTAGTGCCGTCGCCCGGTTACAGGTGCGCATGTTCACGAGCAACAGGCGTTGCTTCCTAGCCAGGCCCGCCAGACTCGCCCTCGGTCTGTTCTACACAGAGGACGAGTCTGCACACTCGAGGCAGAGGGCACCGTGAAGGGCGAGACTAGCCAGAAAAAAGGCAGAAACGCTGACTGTATCGTGCAACGCTGTGGTCAATGCTGGCGTCTGGCGACAGCGCAAACATCTTTCCTTAGATGAAAGGCTTTTAGCGCTTCTTCTTGTTGTGGTTTTGAAGACGTGTCCAAGTCATTTAGAAAAGAGGAAAGAGCCGTAGCGAACAGACGCCGTCTTCGTTGTTTATGAGAAACGGAGCGTCGCGGTGTGTGACGTACGCTGCTCGGCACCGATTGGCTCGGTTCGATTTCTCAGGGGGTGGGGTGATCTGAATGGGAGCGTTACCTGGCCTTTTGCTTCCAACAAGCAAGCACTGACATGGCTGGCCAGACTAGTTGCTTCCAGCCGTAACCAAGAAAGTATGGAGAGCGGCTCAAGGTGCAATTCATTATTTCCGCCTGTAGATGGTGCCCTTTGAGGAAAAAGCTCCAGATTTTTGCATCGAGCTGTTTCTTCCTGTTACTTTTATGTGCAACTTTTCAAAACACAGAGCACAATGTGAAGTAAGGGTCCGATACATTTTTAAACGTTCATTCTAATTTAGGTCTTTGCAAAAACTTCCTTAGAGGTATTCAGGTGAAAATTTAGAAATAGTGCTCTCGAGTTTCACCACATTTTCATCAGATTTTTAAATTCATGTCTGAATTCTGACACCACAGCTAATTTGGTTTGTTTTGAACAAACCGAGTTAAAGAAGGAGCTCGGTTGACATCTGGAAAAGTTACGAACAACAAATGTCTTACCTGGACGACCACTGGAGAAACCGTTCCAAACAAAAGGGTTCATCATCTTCAAATAACTCATTTCATAGCAGTTCAAATACTAGCAATTTATTAGTTATCTGCTATCGAAAGGAGTTGAATTCCGGTCATCTTCTTTCTGGATTTTAATATTAGCACCAGAACTTTGCTTTTGTCTCAGGACGGATCTGTATCTCCACCTGAAGCTGTTCTGTCTACCACAGGTAAGACTTTCACAGGTCCAAACTTCTAAATGTGTGAATAGATGACTTCCTGGACATATTTTTAACCTTTACGTTAACTTTCAGTGTTGTTATAAATAAATATCTAGCTTCATCATTAAAACCGAAACGTTCGGCCGTTTCTTTCATCCCAAAACTAAAATGAAGAGCGTTTTCATTCAGCTGGTCTAATCCAGAGTTTCATGGTCTTGTTCATTTTAGTTTGAGTCCTTAAAGAGCAAGTCACCCCCTACAAGAAACTTACTTCACTCCCACTTCATGTTTGAAAAATGCAACAAATGCTGTTGCTTGGCAGACCAAGAGGACGGAGCCACTAACAAATACACACACACAGGCTCACAATGGCATTATGACATCATAATGTACCAGATGACATCATAGCATACCTCTTAGCCAATAGCGGTGGCAGATTTAAATTCAAATACAGTGCATAATTTTCCCCTGACAACGGCGCAACACTGACAGTTTTAGGCAGAATATTTAAATTTTAACTAAGATGCACTGAAGTGCCAAATTATTGACTAAATGTGTCTGTAGCATGATTAGACACTCCTTTATATAGTTTATCAGCAAAAAAAAAATGTGATTTGGGGGTGACTTGCTCTTTAACAAATGAGAGAAAAGCTTTTCTTTTTCCTCTGTAGCCTTATGCACCGACTCTATCCCCCTAATGATAAGCTAATGGACCGTAGCCATTGTAATGCGCACACACCCTCCTCTAGAAGTGACCCTTTGGTAATCTGTCTAGTTGTGGATCAGCGGTGAGCTGGGAGACGTTTCATTTAGCTGAAACAACAGAGCCAATAACTCTTCAACGCTTTAGGGGAAATATAAACCAGCTGATGATGGGCTGCACAGTGGCGCAGTTGTTGGCACTGTTGCCTCGCAATAAGAAGGTTGCAGGTCCGAAACTCGTGGCCTATCTGTGTGGAGTTGCATGTTCTCCACATGCATGTGTGGGTTTCCTCTGGATTTCCCCCACAGATCACAACATGCCCTACAGGTTAACATTTGTACGTCGCTTTGGATAAAAGTGTCTGCCAAATAAACAAACATAAACACGACAAGGGTCGTATTTGCAGAGAAATATTAAAGAGCAAGTTCACAAGAAACTGTTTTTTTAAAACTCATTTTTGATAAATAATCTGTCATTCTGAGTTTCACGTGCAGACTGAATGTGAAAACAGTCTTCTACCCCTATTTAAGCTGCCAATAGAAAATAGATGAGGGAAAGCCAGTCAGATCTACGTCACACCGAAAATTAGCATTCATGGACTCATCTTGGCTCACAACAGGGATGGCTGTTATTGGTTTAGCTTCCAGGAAACGGCAGAGAACGTCTCTACTAGAAGCTAACCGTTAGCATTAGCAACCTCACCACACAGCAGAACTCCTCCAGGCTTGCGTAATTTATATCAATAACAAGAAACAAGACTCCAAATCCTGCCATTTTCTGCTCCTCTCTCCTCTGGCTAACATCTACTTCCTGAAACAGGAGCACCAATTCAATTCAAGTTTATTTATAAAGCGCCAAATCACGACAAGAGTCGTCTCAAGGCACTTCACATAATAAACATTCCAATTCACAGTTCATTAAGCCAATCTGAAATAATGTTTCCTATATAAGGAACCCAGCAAATTGCATCAAGTCACTGACTAGTGTCAGTGACTATACAGCAATCCTCATACTAAGCAAGCATGCAGCGACAGTGGAGAGGAAAACTCCCTTTTAACAGGAAGAAACCTCCAGAGAATCCTGGCTCAGTATAAGCAGCCATCCTCCACGACTCACTGGGGGACTTGACCCCAAAAGGTCAACTTACAAGGGATTCATTCATTCATTCTAGAGAGCATTCCAAATTTATTGGGGGAAAAAAACACGTGAACTTGGTCTTTAAAGTTGTCTCTATCATGAGCGGATGCTTTAGTGGTTTCCAATATGTAAAAAAAAGCTCCCGCTCTGTTTTAAGGGATAGTAGTAACAGGAGTGTGTGGGTGTGTGTGCATGTGTGTGTATGGGGGGCATCAGAAACAACAGGGATTGGTGTTTCACTCATTAACATCCATGATGTATCCTCTGACTGGCTAACAGAATCGTAACTCTTCTGCTGCCTCCGCTTGCTCTTCTTCTTTGGATAAAAGTTGCATCGTTGATGTTTTGTCTCCACTAATGACTAGCCTGAACGTGTTCTACCACGTGGTGGACGTGCTAATGCTAACAGTTAGCTTCTGCTAGCAGAGAAACACTCCACACTCTCCTTTACTAATACTATAAATATTCCTTTGTCCTGATGTAGATGACACTGGCCTTTCCTGACCCAAAACGTTTTGCCTTCCTTTCTGCGGCTAAGGCAGGCTACAGGGGCTGAAGAGAACTTCCACCTTCAGCATGCATTTACAACCCAGAGCGACCTAGTACCATACCTCTAAAAGAACAAGTTTACACGATTTATAAGTGAACAAAAACCTGCAAACCCAGAGCCAGCTGTCTCTGAGACTCTGTGGTCTGATTATAGCTAAAACCGTACAAATACCACCAACTCGTAGTGTCCTGAATTTATTTTACAGTTATAAAGCATATTGCACAGGAGGTCCTTCCCAACCCCAACAGAAGCCCCTTTAATACACACTCACGTAAAAACACAAAGAGTAAACAACGGTGGCCGACACGGCTGTAAAACAAACTCAAACACACTCCATCATTTGTTCTTTACAGAGCATTTGCAGACACCCTGAATATCCAGCCCCGTTAGGAAGTTTTAGTGTTTTTAACATACAGCAGGAATACTCCGCCACCGCGATGATTACGTACTGCAGCCTCCTCAACGAGGTTTAAAATAAGTCTTCCCCAAGGTGTGACGTCTCTCAGCTTTGTGTGCGTTACTAAAGAACTTTTACTTCAATCTTATTCTAATTTACTAAAAACGGAACCATCCCCACCGACAACAGCTCCTGGAGTAAAAATCACCGGTTTAGTTGGCGAGGCTAAAACTGCTTTATTTGTTCTTTTGTAGTTACGTCAGCTCACAAGTAGCTCGGCTGTCATTTCACTGAACCGATCTTTGAGGAGATGGATGGATCGTGTGCTGCAGAGAGCGTGAGACTCACTGGGCCACGATGGCACTGCTGGTCTGGACTGATTTGGGCCGGCAGACGTCTCATGCTTATCTGGGTAGGGCCAGGCATGAAACTGTTGGCTATCAGCGGACTCCCACCTGCGTTTACAGATTGTTTCACTGTTTTTGTTTTGTAAACGATCATCGCGAAGGATCCTGATGTTTGGGACCCGGAGTCTTGCTGATTTTCCTCTAAACTAATGAATTAGGTATTAGGAGATATGGAAGATTTTTATCTGAAAAGGACAGACAGCTGAAGCACGTTGGTCCCCAGGGATGCAGCACCAGCAGCGACGCTTTCTACTTCTGATTCATACCAACTAAAATACAACATTAAAAACAAACGTTTATCCTTTCGTTGGTCTTTTCCTATCAGATGCTGAATTTCTGAAGAACCGAGAGAAATATGAGATATTCTATTGCTATGATCCAAACAGCTTTTATCCTAATTGTAATACATTTTAGTCATCAGTGAGCTTTTAAGTAAGGATGTGTTGAGAAACGGCGTGAAAGTTTGGTTTGGACTCCTCAGTGGGAAAACCGCTGATTTCTACCACAAACACACATCCACAAGTCCTCTTTACTGCAACAGCCTGCCTCATCCAAAGTGTTTCTCTATGGAAGCGTTTGAACAGGAAAAACTAAAATGAGCTCAGATCGCACGCATGAGCCAACAGTGAATATTATTTACAATGACCTCAATTTCACATCTCGTGGTTTTCCACTAAAACTTTTACCGAAACCAACGTTTCTGCTGAAACTCGACAGAATTCTTTGAAAAATATCCACGGAATATGGAATTCAGTTTGGTGAGAGAACTTTTGGGGCACGTTCGGGTTTAGCGATGCTTTAAGATGTTTGATGAACTGGATCCACTCAGAATGGTTGTCGGCTCATCTGTGCCGTCAGAACTAATCAGTCTAAACTTAGATTGCTCAAAGTTCCATCTGATCATTTATATTTATACTCTAAGAAGGGAAATGTTAGTTATGTGAGCTGGCTCCACTAAACCTGGTTGCTTAAAAGGGTAATAGGCATGTACTTTTACCATAACGTACGTATTTAACTCATTACATTTAAACCGCGAGGCTTAGTGGAACCCACTCGCATTACTTGGTTAAGTTAATTCAACATTTCATTTCTTACAGTGTAAACCTTTCCACAGAAACACACTTCAGCCTGAAGTATCCTTTAAACTGTGATGTAAAAACAAACTTGTGAATGCTTCCTCTCAGTAAAGTAGCAGGATTGTCTAGGAAACAACACATCAACGCCGCTCTCCCATAAAACCAACTGGACCGGGTCTGCGTTTTAAATTTCCACACAGAAATTTGCTTCCCCTTCCAGTATTCCCACAGAAAGTACGCAGCAGATTATTTGCATTTTAATCCTCTCTTTGGTGAAGAGATCGAGTCAAACGTACGGGGTTTCCGAAAGACGCCATGATCAATACTTTTGCAAGAGGTAGACGGCCATGATTGTTTTACAGCTTGCTTCCGCTGCCTTGTGCGAACACCTCAGCGACACTCCACAGTAGCTTTCATGTTATAAACAAACCACCGGTCCAACAGAACTTTTATGACTCCGGTACTGAAGTCCTGAACACAACACAAGAATTTTCATTGAGTTCTTTTATAGAGAGTACTTTTATGATGAAGGTAGAACTGCTAGACGTGGATATTCGAGAGTCTCTTTCTACCTGCAGCGGAAACTCGACAGCAGTCTTTTCTGGTCGTCCGACATCTTGATATTCACACCAGAGGTTTAGACTCTTCCTCTCCCTGTGCTCAGGATTTAATATTAATGATTATCATAGTCTGATTGGGCTTCTAGAGAGGCTAGAAAACGCAGAAACATGGTGTCGACTGGCATCAACAACATCCTTCTCACACAACCAGAGTCTTGAGGATTCAAAGGTTCTTAAAACGCTCCGAGGCAAACGACGTCCGAGCAAGAATGTTTGTGTCAGTCGAAGGCTTTCACTGACGGAAACGGTTCTTTGGAGCCGAGCTGACGAGAAACAGAAAAGTCCAGCTTCATAAAACAGAGCTCTGTTGCATCAACCGTGTGAGGAGAAGATTGGTCTGCTGATGTTGCTGTTGGTCGTCATGGCGGCCAGTTCCCATCTGGAGAAACAAAGAACGATTATTAAACATCAAGGTTACTCACATTTTAATACATGTGCAGTGAGTGGGACTGAAGTCGTTCACCGGGGGGAGAAAAGCTCAGATTCGAGGACGCAGACGTCAGCTGGAGGAGACGGAGGCTGCAGTCGGCAGGATTTGAAGTCTTATTTCCCGATATTTACACATCTCTCATCTGATTGGAGAACAGCAATGCAACTCCACCACTGACTCCATTTGCTCTGCAATGTTGACGTTTTATCTCCGCAAACATCACTAGCCTGAAGGGGTTCTGTCGTGTTTTGGAGTTAACGCTAACAGCTTCTACTAGCCGAGATGTTCTCTGCTGTTTCATGGATGCTAAACTAAGGGGCTCGACACACGGGAGGCGACAAACGACCGCGATCAGCGAAATTTGTCGCCGTCGCTTTTATTACCTGACACACGGGAGGCGGCCAGCGGCAAAGCCGTCTACGCGTTCTGTTCCATGGCGAAATCGAATCTTCCGTTGTTTTGCTTGGCTGTGTCAGGTTGGAGGGAATTAAGGTTATTTAAGCGGTTCAGAGTTAAAAAAAAAAGCGGTAGATATGATGTTTTACAAGGTGCTGCTAGAGTTATGTGAAATCTTACTTCTGATTTTACTATAAAACATAATAATAATCAACTTCTCCTCCATGTTTGCTCGGAGGTGTACGGAGCATCCTGTCCGCTCATTGGTCAGTGAATGAAACCTCCGTTGATTGGTCCTCGTCCGAGCGACAGCGATGAAAAGTTGAAAATGTTTCAACTTTCTGGGATCGCGTCGCTGGGTCGCCTGTGCACGACACGTGCACGAGCGCAAAATTTCACACGCATGTTTTTCGCGTTTCGCTTGGTAGGAGGGAGACCCGCGATTATCGCTTTGTCGCGCATGTCTCATTGAAAATGAATGGAGGAGAGGCGATGTCGCCTCCCGTGTGTCGAGCCCATAACACCACCCTTCCCCGTCACGAGCCGAGATGGGCGAGTCCATGAATGTCAAGTGACAGTGCGACGTGGATCTGTCGGGATCTTCTAATCCTGGAGTTTCACCGTCTATTTTCTATCAGAAGCTAATGCAGGAGATAGGTGTAGGAGACTATTTTCATGTTCAGCCTGCGTGAAAAACTCTTGAGCGTCTGATAATTAAAAATAATAATAAGTAAAAAAAAAAGGTTTCACAGTGAACTTGGTCTTTGATCTTTCTCACAAATGCATGAAAACATGTTACAAGTGTTTGTATTTATTTCCTGTAAAAGCAGAAATTCCTTGTTGAATTTCAACAAAAGTTGTGCATTTATTTCACAAAAAGACAAACGGACTCAAATGTATTCCTAAAAAGACACAATTATAGTGATGGCGATTCAGAAGCTACGCTGCTAGAAGGTCTCACTGTAACGTGAGCATCAGGAGCAGGAGCTGACAACGGGCTCTAGTGCTGACCTGATGACGGGTCAGAGGTTGAGCTCCAGATTGTTATCACTGGCTCTGGTTTCACACTCACTCCCTCTCCACTGCTTTGTTGGTTTTTTTGTTGTGCATGCGTGTGTGTTTAAGAGAGGAGATTAGCATAAGAGCTGCGGACGCCACCAAGGTGCAAAGGGAGTGAACTCAAGTCCTGTGACCCCCCCCCTACTGAAACTCTCTAAAGGTTAGAAACACAACTGCAAACACCAAAGAGGGGAACGTGCAAGGTGGCAGTGATGAAGAAACGAGAGGTTAAGAGGAGCAATTAGTATCAGGTTACGTTGGACCAACGCGTTTAAAAACAATAAAATCTCCTTTGTGGAGGATTTAGACACACTTGCTTCAAAAGGCGTGAGCTGCATTGTGTTTGTAAATTAGGTTTTTTTTATTTTAGCTAGAAAGAAAACCGATGACCTAAAAAGGCATTTTTAAAGAAAAGAAAAACAAAACAAAACAGTATTTTATGATTCCTTAGTATTCTGCCTCTAGAAAATTCCTAATGTTGAAACGTGTTATTAAAAAAGCATCTGCAGTAATATTTGGTGTAAAATGGTAACTAGAGGTCAACCGATATCGTTTTTTCTATTGCAGATACCGTTGCTGATACGTGCTGCTGATTTTTGAGACCGACTTTCATTGGTTGATATCGAGGTGTTTCCACCTTACTTTCTTGCTGAAAGCTCACTAGAACACCAGTTGATGCACATTTCTGAAACCGAATCAGTTTTTGAACACTGAATTTAAGGAACTGTTCAAACTTTATGTTATGCACTGCTCAGTGTTGGAATCAGACATCCAACTGAAGTTTATCAAACAAAACGGACCACCTAGTAAATGTTTAAAACGTGTGTATGAAAAGAAAAAAGAGCATTTGTTATGCAGATGTTATTCAGGGAAGTCAATACTTCAAATTCTATTCTGCAGCAGCACTGGGCGGCCCGGGAATGTGCCCGCCTTTCATTCGGCTCCAGGAGGTATATTGGCCGATACCGATATCTCAAAAACGGTAATTATCGGTCCGATATATCAATAGATTCATCTACCTCTACTGGTAACCATCAAAATGAATGCTCTGATAAAAACTTAATAAATGTAATCGCCTCCGAAAAGTACAATCCTGTAAAAATAACATCTAATCATTAGGAACTGACTGTCTGTCCCGCCCCTTTCTGCGCATATTCCTCTATGTGGACGAATCGCACGTTCTCGGCTCGGAGCGGAACAGGAAGTAGAGCCAGGGCCGGGCTAGCTACGTTAGCTAGCATACTAAATTGTTCCACAGTTGCACGGGTGAGTTACATTAGAAAATAAGGCAGAAAAGAGTCAAAAACATAAAACTGTATTTGAAAAGGCATCGGCCTTCGGTGTTCTGGGGGTGTGGCTTGTGGGGAGGGGCTGAAGAAAGGGGGTTGGACCTTTCAATTTTGTTGATTTTTTCAAATGTAGTTTGCTTGAAGAGATGTTTCAGAAACCCTCGCATTTAACAACAATTGTCGTGAACGTTCGTAATGCTGATTTATTTTTTAAGCAGTTATTTACAAATGTAGCTTTTTCTTTCAGATTCAGATATTCGGTCAACAGTACGCTCATTTATTATTATTATTATTTATTTTTCAATAAATAAAAGATGCTTCTTTAACGCAACAAACAAGCTGACTGAAAAGGTATAGGCTGAAGCTACTGCTTCTGTTGCCTTCCCTTTAATAAACTTAGCGATGCAAGTACTAATACACGGTGTACACATGCATCAAGTTATCCAGCGAGTAAACTGAATGTGTATTTTTAAGTACATGCATATTCTTTTTGTAAAAGGCAGACAGATTTTTTATACTTTTCTAGTGTAATACTTTTATATATTCTCTTTAGATGGGAGAGAGAGGGACATCGTTTGAGGTTTGAGGTCATCTAAACTATTGTTCCAGAGACCAACCCCTTGGTGTTTGTTTCCCACCTTCTTTTAAATAAACCTTGTTTGTTATTTTGAACATCATTTCATCATTAGTGTTTGGAAACACAACAGTTTTCTTCCACACCACAATTCTGGGGTAGAGTTTGGCTACAGTTTCAAATCCGTCACAGCTGAGCTTGTGTGTGCAACGGTATTGCGTGAGGACACTTATGAAAGGTGACTTTGACGTTTCTTTGACGTAGCAGCACAAGTAGAACGAACACTGAAAATCAGACAAACAGGGACTGTTGATGAGCCGCTGGAAAATACATTTACAAGTGGAACTGTGCTGCTCTGGGTGGCTGCATGTTGGAGTAGCTCTGTTGACTATGTGTAAGTTTTGCCTTTTCTTGGACGTTTTTTCTTCTAGTTTCTCAAGAAAAACTGTATTTTTTGGGATATTTTACTTTTCTGTTGCTGCTGCTGTGAAGCATGGTGGATTTTTTCTGCTACTTTTTAGCTTTTTTCACTTTTTGAGCATTTGTTATGATGCGTAGCCGTGGCAACAAGCTGACTTACAATCGGGAGCAGCTGATTAACATTGGAAAGGCTGAAATAATACCTCGACTGAAGCCACAAATCCCAAATGAAGTAAAACGCAAGAAGCGTGGGTGCAGAGCGGGAGCAAAACGGAGACAGAGAAAGAGGAAATTCAAACCATCTCTTCCATCGATCATAATGGGCAATGTGAGATCACTGGCCAACAAGATGGAGGAACTCCAAGCCCTTTCAAGGACTCAGTCAGAGTTTCGGCAGTTTCGGAACCGCTGGAGGAGATAATGCAAAGAAGGATTCTCCAGAGAATCAAGAAAATGATGGACAACCCTGAGCGTTCTCTTCACAAGACTGTCCGACAACGGAAGAGTGTCTTCAGTCAGAGGCTTCTTCAGTTTGGCTGCAACACTGACCGCTACTGGAGATCCTTCCTGCCAACAGCCATTGTAATATACAACAACTCTTTGATGACTTGATTATTATTATTATTCTGAGCTACTACAGCAATCAGTTTCCCTCTGGGATTAATAAAGTATTTTTGAATTGAATTGAATTGAATTGAATAAAAGTCTGATGAAACCTTTAAAAGCAAAATCTGCCTAGAAAACGGCGACTGGTGTTTAGCGCCATCTCGTTTCGTCTGGCATCGCGGGTTTCCGGTTCCGGCAGTAAGATGCCCGAGGGGAGGGGTGAGTGTGCCGTCACCGTGTTTGCGTTCAACACCTAGCTTGTTTGCAGATTTGTTAGAACAACTTCCGGTTCACTTAAATACACAAGAGACTTTGTTACGTTTAAATTCACACTTAACTATTTTTTTTCTAGATTTTATTATTGGAATACACAACATTTATTTCATGGTAAACTATGACACCAATAGTTGCCTGTTAAATAAAATTGTTATTTTGTCATCTGAAAGAAAATCCTCCTGTTTTGTTCATTTATTTTTACTTCGCAAACAAAATAATTTGCAAATAGTAAATGGACTGAAAACGTCACGGACCACACTAACGTGTCATCGTGACTGATTCTTTTATATGTAAACGTTTACGTTATTATCCAAGATGTCATGTGACCATGAGTGGATGGCCGATTAAGAACACCACTTGTTAAATGAAGGATAATGAGCCATAATTTGGCCTTTTTGATAAATTACCTAATTACAGCTGACAACAAATGGCACAAACAGTCAGTTTGAGGACTGAACAGCACAGAGAGGAAGATGGGTCTCTGACCTGATATCATGTGGGAGTCCTGACTGTTCCAGACTGTACTGAATAACAGCTATTTTGCATAATGTCTTCAAATTGGGGCCTGTAGAGAAAAAAAACAACAGAGAGAAAGTAAAGAGAGTCATAAACACTCATTTTACTCATTCAAGGAAAATCCTATTCAAATTGCCACAAGACAAGACAGATGTGAGAATCTTCAGAAGAGCGGGTTCAGTTTCCTCTCTGGTGTAAAACTCACCACGGTCGGTTTGGTGTTTGTTTACCTCGGGGAGACGGGAGAAACAAACAGGGAATGTTGATGAAAATGTCAAAACATATTTGCTACAAAGCCGCTTTCTAATAATATCTTTATATTTCCTCCTACTATCATCGCCGTGGTAGTTCCACCGTATGTTCGGTGATAACAGCCTAAGGGTACAGGGTACAGCCAATCCCCGTGCAAGCCCACCCACACAAACCCAAACTGTGACCTGACGGCATAGCGGGCTGGGCCCATGCAGGCAGGACATGGCTATGCTTGGTCATCTGTGAGACGGAAGTGCCCGAGGCTGGGCCAAACCCAGGCAGACGGAACAAGATGTGGACACAGCTTCTTGCTCATATATCCAATTAGAAAACACTTGCTTGTTTATATGCACAGCAGCTAAAGAAGAATCTGGAACCGCATGAATAAAAAATAACCGACTTCGCCTGTTCTGGTTTTACTTCTAATGAGGTAATTGTGTTTGGTTATTTTTATTGTTTTATCTTATTTAACAACAAGCTCCAATCCGGGTCACTTTGGTGCTTGGTTGTTGAAGGGTGGATTAGGTTGGGAGAGATGAAATAACATTGTGGGGGTCAAACAACAGTGAGAATTTCAGAAAAGAAAGCCAGCGCCAGGGTGTCGTTTGTGAGGGAATTTCCAAATCGTCTTTGGAGATTCGCAGACTTTCCAAATTTACCCACAAGATTTGCAGGACTTTGCCCTTGTGTTGCTGGGATTTTTAACAAATCTGCACATCTAATGAACTTGCAGTGACATCAAACGTCCCACGTAGAGGTAAGCAATATGACAAAACGAAGACTGCGATAAAATGAGAATCAACAATAATGTTGAAGTTCTGTCAGAGGGACCACAGGCAAGACATGTTTCCAGCAGGACCATTTTAGATGTGACACACTTTAATCCTGATCAGTACGGAAAGTTCATAAAAAAATAAAAATGAAGTAGGGAATGCTAAAAATGCGTTTGCTTGATTATCTCCATTGTCGCTCTACTAACAGGACCTTACTGTAGGTCAGGGCTAGTCAAATCCAGGCATCGAGGGCTGGTACTCGGCATGTTTTGGTTTCAACTCTGCTTCAACACACTTGATTTCAATTAGCAAGTGATTAACAGGCTTCTGCAGAGCCTGGTGAGCTGCTCAACCACTGAATCAAGTGTGTTGGACCAGAGAAACCACTAAAACATGCTGGATACCGGCCCTCAAGGCCTTGGTGTAGATGATTCCCTCCTACTTGTTCTTCGTTGTTGGCATTATGGGCTGCCTGACTTCAGTTTTTTTAAAGTTGACAGTCAAGTAATGAAAATCTACTTGAATCTGACTAGTCATTGATGACGTCATACACCTGAAGTGGCTAAAACTGACGATGGGTGACCAAGCGGTTTTTTCCGACGCACATCGGGAGGCGACGCTCAGGAACAGCACGTCGCTTTTTGACGCTCGAGGTAAAACAGAAATTTCACCGAATTGTGACCTTCACCCTCTTGCTATTTAACCTTCCCCTCACCCCCACCCTAACCTTTACCCAGTATGTCAGTCTAAATTTCATATTAAGTGAGTTTGAGAACAATGAAAACGCGAAACAAAGCTTTGCATGCGCAAGCTGGTTAAGGTTAGGATGGGGGTGAGGGGAAGGTTCAATTGCAAGAGGGTAAAGGTCACAATTCAGTGAAATGTCCGTTTTACCGCGGGCGTCAGACACCGACGCTCTGGCACAACGCGTCGCCTCCCAAAGCGCAGGGGCTCGTCACCTGCTGTCTTTTCCGAGGACTGCATCTTGTCGGTCATTATCACGTGACAGCGACTAGTCGATGACAAGCATAAAAAGTCACTACAGAGCCGTGACGTCGACTAGTCGACTAGTTCATACAACCCCTAGTTGGCATTAGCATTACTTTCTCCAGTTAGCATATGCAAGCTAATGCTATGCTAATAAACATTGCACTGATTCAAGTGTAAACAAACAGGACTATATGATTTGCTGTTGCAGTGAATAACGCTAACAGCTAATGTTGCTTTTGGTTTAATGACTGAATGTTTTTCATACTGCGGAGTGTTTGTGTTTTTGTACTCTTTAATTTTTCTCAAACTTGTGTCTCCAACTGGTAAAAAGGATACTTACTGAAGTCTAAGATATACAGGTCTGAGTGATCCATGAGGTTAAATTCATCCCCCATTCCTTGCTCTGGGCAGGGGCTGTCGAGAGAAAATAAAGGGTTCAATGAGGTTAGAGAAAGTCCTCACATCTCCGGCATTCACCAGCATGATTCAAACTAATTGTGTTAAACTGCTTCATGGAGTGATAAATATTTCACAATACGTCCAGCACTGGGCTTCCATGCAGCATGTGGTCGTTTGTTTTCTCATCCATTGTCTTGCTTTTGTTATTTAATCACTAACTTCTATAATTAGGGAGTCACAGATTATTCTCAAGAAGAGCAGGGCTGCTCTTCTTATCACAGTCGGGCAGCGTTTAGGCCCACAGGAAGGAGAGCATCACAGTGAGACAGCAAGCTGGCCAGTGCTGATAGACTCTCAGACCTGCCAATTATATCACCGCACATCTGTTTCCTGCTAAACACACACATGCAAGCACACACACCTGTGACCCACCTGGACCACCACAAACCAATGAAGTTTATGATTCAAAAGAGTTCAAATGAAGACAACTGGACTTCTTCAACCAAAGAAGTCCAGTTGTCTTCATTTGAACCCTTTTGGATTACCATTACCAGGATGACTGACAGCCTTCACCAGCATGAAGATAATTGCATTCAGATATTCGAGAAGAGATTTATTTTCATGAGACAGTTACTGCAGACCTTTATGTGCTGGATGCCCATTATCTGGTTTACAGCTGTAACAGAGATGCACCCAGAGACCTTTAAAAGAAAATAAAGTTGCTCTTGACGGTTTTACACCAAGACGAGATCTTCAGCCAGACTGGTGCAGGTGAGGCACTACGAAGGAGAAAAACTAAAGGATGTTCCAGCCAAGCTCAGGCCTAAGTGCAGATTCACATCATCCATCCTGCAAAACATCAACCAGGCAGAAGTAGACGCATCCAGAGGATGAGACGCCGTCAGACACCACCGCAGATTTCATTTGTTAAAAATGACGTTACTAAATGGTAAATGGTAAATGGCCTGTATTTGATATAGCGCCTTCTAGAGTCCTGGAACCCCCCAAGGCGCTTTACAACACAATCAGTCATTCACCCATTCACACACACATTCACACACTGGTGGGGATGAGCTACCATGTAGCCACAGCTGCCCTGGGGCGCACTGACAGAGGCGAGGCTGCCGAGCACTGGCGCCACCGGTCCCTCCGACCACCACCAGCAGGCAACGTGGGTTAAGTGTCTTGCCCAAGGACACAACGACAGCGACAGACTGAGCGGGTCTCGAACCTGCAACCTTCCGATTGCGAGGCGAGCTCTTAACTCCTGTGCCACTGTCGCCCCACAATACTAATACAACACGGCATCGTTCCCACCGCCTACTCCTGCGTACGCTTCTTTGCATCTTCCTTTCTCTGCATGTTCAGGATGTTGTAAGGGTTTTACGTTGCTAATCTTCCCTAAACAAACAGGGTGGACAGCAGAGGCACTGAGCATGAGCACAGTTGTCCCAGGGGGTCGGATGGGGAAGTCATTACGCCCCCTGCCCCCCCGGAGGTGATCCTCCAGAGTTATAGAAAGAGTTTTACGAAGAAAAACAAAAAATTTGCATTTGAATTTGCAAAAACTGATTGTATTCATCCAAAACAAAAATACTTAGATTACAAGTGTGACGCTGGGCGATGTGATGAAGGTAGCAGGTCTATCCTAGGAGCACACGGCACTGCAGTAGCTGTGGACTCACATGCAGGCTCACTTGGAGGGGGGTTATGGGCTTTTGGTGCTGACGTGTGAAAGGAGAGCAGATAAGAGGACGTTTTAATAGTAGTAATAGTAATAAGCAAGATGATGATTACATCCTCGGGTAGAACACGTTCTCTGATAATGTCAGCCTGGGTGTGAAATTCAGCAGTGCATTAGGGATGTTAATACTTTATTGGGCACCACAAAGAGGAAAAGGCTGAAGGGGTGGTGGTAGGAGAGGGCTGACAGACGTAATATTTAGAAGCGGGAACGTCACAGTGTGTGACTTTATGTGGCATCCTGGTGTGTGAGGGCCCACTTTGTTACTTGACCAGTAAAGTATCAGTGTGTGTGAAAGTGCTCCTCCCCCTGTTGCAGTAGTGCTTCCCAGTGAGTCCCGAGTGACGCTGCCCCCCCACTAAAACAACACTGGCTGCTTTTTCAAACAACACTCAGTGAGGGTGTCTAATCACCTAATTGCCACCCCTTGCACTGCCTGCTCCTCCTAATTATATTCCAAACCAAAGTTTCAACACTGTAGCAGACGACGGTGAACCCTAAAACTGATTAAGTACATCTTACACTCGGATCACAGAAACGGTGATGTTGGGATCCTCTGAGATTTTCAGAACCAAAACCTGCCCTGTGTTCAGCATCTTCATTGACTATATCCTCATTCTTGAAGTGATATGATCTGCATCCCTTTCCTTTCTCTACTTCCTACTGAGCTCTGCTTCTTCTGAAGCACCAAACACACAGGAACTCATCACAAACTACAACTTCCTGCAGAAGGCCTTATCAGGGTAGCCAGACATGGATCGAATTAGTCCAGTAGCACACTGGTATCGGCGGCACAAACGCATAAAATTACTGAAAAATAAAGACTTTGTTTTACCAGCTTTTTACTGCAGACCATTTTTTTGTAGAGAGGTAAGGTGGCTCTAACTTTATTAATGGTCATGAACGGTCACGTGACCTCTTACAAACATTTCCAGCCGGCAAAACGGAATCCTAAAGTTTGGATCAAATCCATGCATTAAAGACGATTTATTCTAATAAATGCATGTTCTGACTGTAAAATAGGGCTGAGCGATATGGCCTAAGATCAATATCACGATATATAGAGGAACGTTAAATGGACAATAACTACATGTATGTGCAGACACTAAAGTTGTCCACTAGATTGGGCCGTCATGTGTACTACGTTGATTCATGTTGTCACGTGTCAGGTGGAACAGCTTCTTAAGCCGGGCGTACACTGTGCGACTTTTTCACTTTTTTGAGCCGATTTTCCAGTCGTGCGAGAATCCACGACATCGGGGCGAGTTTTGCGCCGAGCGGTCGTGTAGTGTACAGGGGGTTACGAGAGGCGATTAACACCACGTGACCAGCTGCCGATCAGCAGTCGTGAGGTCGCACGGACTTCTGGCGTGTTTAATATTTCGCTCGTCCCTCGTGAGGGTATCGCACTGTTGAAGCGGCGCTGCGAGCAGCTGCGACCCAAAAAGTATCAGAACCGCTCACGGCGCATGCGCAATCCTGCATCAACACCGCTCGCTCGCTGTTTCCTAATAACACACGTTGTTCGTTTTTATTTCTGCACGTTTTTTTACTCACAAAGATTGTCAAGAAAGCGTGTTTGTCGTGTTCATGTCAAATTAAACTGATCACAAAACACAGATTTACTTTCTTTATTTCGTTTTCCTCATCCAACCCCCATAAATCCCTGTGTGTCCTCCTGCAGCACTCCCGAAGGACAACAGGCAAAACAAGACAAAAAAGTCTGATGTGTTGAGTAAAAACTGCTATTTTTAGCATATTTTTAGGGCCGACGTGTTGCTACCAGACGTACAGTGTGAGCAGTCAGGTCGCATCCGAGAACTGGGTCGTGCATTGTGAGCACATGACTCGTGAGATCTGCTCTGCGAGGAAGTCGTACAGTTTGAGCTGAAGCTGAGTGCTACGAGTGAAAAAGTCACACAGTGTCCACCCGGCTTTAAAGGGACACGAACGTCGCCAACCTACGCACCTTTTCATTTTTTTAATCATCAAATTTTTGACATGGGAAAAACAATACTGAGTCAGAAATTTCGATAACGATACATTTTAGATTTATTGCCCAGCCCTATTGTTAAATAATCCTTGTATTTTTATGACATATGTCATATAATGTTGACGTCTGGCATTTGTCGCCATCACCATTTATCTAGCTTCAAGTCAATTTAGCATGTCAGCTAGGCTTAAAGGGATTCACCTGAGTGATACCAGTGTCATGGTGGTGGTGTGGTGGCAGTGAAGCAAGTGACATTTCCATTTGGAAAGAAAAAATATGTAAACTTTAAAAACCCAGCTTGAACAGCGAGTGACTGAAGAAAGTTGCATCATTTTGGCCTGGTCCAGCGTGAGGCCCGTGCGTCTGACTTCTGTTGATTCTTGAAGAAATTTCATCTTTCATCCAAGAGGATTCTTCCGACCTGATGATAGGTCGGGAATTCATGGCCTAAATGTTCTTGTGAACTTTTGTTAATACAGTCAGGTGACACATTCCACCGTGTGAATCATTTGATGCAATCTTCTTAACATGCGAGTGGTTTAGATCACGTTCCAAGGTGTGACTGGTTGTGAAACCTCCTGAGGGAAAGAGTCAAGGCAGAACTTTACCTCCAAAGTTTAACATTAGTTTGCTGTGGTCACTCTTCCTTTAAACCACCTGCCATCTTTATCTAAATGTGCTTAACCCTCCCACCGTATAATGGGTGTGAAGCCACGAGAAAAGCTGACCATTGAGCAGGGTTGATGGTTTATCCCTTGGGTTCACGTGGCAGGGGTGAGGAGTGAGCGCCATCTCACCCCTGCCACGTGAACCTCAAGGGATAAACCATCAATCCTGCTCAATGGTCAACTTTCCTCGCGGGGTCACCCATAAAGACAGTGGGAGGGTTAACCTGTCCTCAAACAAGTTTCCCTTGTTTCTGAGATGTTGATAGCCTACAGAGTCTTGACCAGATGAGCTGGCTCTTCCGTTCCATGCACTTTTGAAGTTTAGTTTCAACGATACAGAGATCAGAACATTCATCTCAGCACTGAACTGCAAGGAATACGTAGCTCAGCTTGTGTTTGGGTGTCTTGTTTTTAGGGTGAACCAGTCTCAGTCTAAGAGGCTTGTTGGTTATAAAACATACTGAAATTACATGCTTAGAAAAAAATCCAGGCACAAGCAGAATAACAATTTCCTGGGCTTGTCTTCTTTTTCTTCTTTCTTTGATGAAGTCGAGTATTTTCTTGATTTCCTGGATGTCTTGACCAGCCCAGTTAGGGTATCGCCGGCTTT